ACCCATATTTCTGTGGTGTATTGGCATGTGTGCGCTGCAATCAATGTATATTTTCTCAAATCCTGTTCTCAATTTGAATCTCCCAAAGATTTAGCAGGTGCCACCACTATTTTGGCTAAAACTAGACAGACTGAAACCATTTTGAACCACTCTACATCAATAGTTTTATCTCTAACTCTGTGCAACCTCGCCCCCCCCCCCACCAGCAAAAAGAAAAAGAAATAAACAAAAGCAGTCACACACAAACATTTTGAAAAATGGTTGTTTTTTGAGGTTCCACATCTCCATAGCCTCTAGCTCAAATGGCAGCAAATTTGGGTCATGAACTCTGCCCTGCACTCTCTTGAGGCACACCAGTTTTCAAAAGACTGCTACTAATTATGTCAATTCTAGAAGACTTAGAAATAATTAAATAATAATAATTTAAAGTTTAGAAACTTTAAATGGAAGTTGTAGAATCATAGAATCATAGAGCTGGAAGAGACCTCAGAAGGTCATCAAGTCCAGCCCCCTGCTCTAGGCAGGACCAATCCCAACTGAATCAACCTTAATAAAACCTTAACTCTCATTGATGATTACTTTTTAAGAGTGTAACTGGACTTCATTTTTGTTTTAAATCACTTTCTTAATCTATAGCAATTGATTAATAAGTTAACCTTTCACTTTTGATGTGATTTTCTTTATGCAGATTTCTCAAAAAATGAAAATAGACTGGTCAGTTTCACTTTCAGGCTCACAAGCATTTATCAAAATGTTACTAAAACAAGGTGGTAAATCATGCAGGGGGATGTATGTTGGCTGGTTTTTGAATAAAGAAATGTTGGGTTGGCTTTATTTAAGTACAATTTTAATACAAAAACAACCAGCTAACAAAAACGAGGGTGTTATATGGAACACACTTAAAAATAATCAGCCTAAATTTTAATACTTACAAATAACTTTGTTCTTAATTGGATCTGTAATTGATCTGGGCCAGGACAGTGGTAGCTGAGTGGAGCTGGGAATAAGAATGTCAAATCCTGAGAGAAATATGGTTTAGGGCAAGGCCTCAAAACTTGTGTGGTAGAAGTGTGGGATGGGATCTAACTCTTTCTTCAGATTAGAGTTTGAATTGGAATTTGTTTTCTAGTACATGTTGAACCTCTCTAGTCCAGAACCCTCGGGGCCTGACAGGTTCTGAAATTGAGCATTTTCTGTCCCACGGGAGGTCAATATTATCTAGCAGCATTACCAACACTTCCACTTTTTACTGTGCTGTTAGAAGACATTTAGGGGTAAACTAGAGCTAAATAACAGCACAGAACACAGAGAGCTAGGACTTGTAGCCATAAACAAACTTGATGGGACTGTGGGAAACTCACCATGCCCATGAAAAGCAGACATCCAGCTAAGTGAAATCATTCTGGACGACAGATGTTTCTGGATGAGAGTGTTCTGGATTAGAGAGGTTCAACCTGTAGTACACCCACAGCTAATTCCCCACTGAGAAGCTACACTCACCATATGGATTGCAAGGCAAAGTGTGCAAATACTGCATTTTAGAGCTATTTGTGCAAGTTAAAATGCCCAGTGGGCAGAAAGGCTGAACGCTCCAGCTCTGAAGACTTTGATAGTAGTTCTTGCTTGACTGGTTACACAGTGATGCACCCTCCTAACCTCATGTTACTTGTTTGATTTTCAGAGTCCTCTGAAGCAGAGTCACCCTGGGGCACAGCATGAGTTGTTCAGGTCTTGTTGAGAACTATGTGGCAGCCATGGTGCTGAGTGCAGTTGGTGATACCTTGGGCTATTACAACGGAAAATGGGAGTTTCTGCGGAGTGGCCCGGAGATTCACAGGCAGGTTGCACAAAAGGGGGGGCTGGAAAACATCAGTATAAAAGGCTGGAAAGTCAGTGATGATACAGTGATGCACTTGGCAACAGCTGAAGCCCTGGTCGCTGCTGGGAAACAACCAGTTTTTCCAGAGCTCTATTCCCTTATAGCACAGAACTACCAGGACTGTATGGACGACATGCAAGGCAGAGCTCCAGGTAATGCTTTTGAAATTTTATCTGTGCGATATTAAACAGCGTTTCCGTCCTCAGGATATTGTTCTCTCTCTCATGCCCTCTTCGTTAAGGCTGCCTATCAATTGCCACTGTTTTTAATTGGTTATCCAAGTGTTCAGGCTGAAATTTTCCAGTGAGTAATCCGTATCAGACTGATTTTTTTCTATAAAGTTTCAAATAAAATGGTTCTGCCATTTCCAAGAACAGGGTTGGGAATAGGACATTGTTTTACCGCTGTTCTTACAACAGTTTCTTTAAGACATTCCAGCACCTCCAAATTTGGATCTGGGACTTGAAATTTAGCCAGGAGGTGGCCTTTTTGTTAGGGGCTTGCCTTTACAATATGCCCACACTTGGCCAAGTTATAAGCCTTTGGAAGTGGCGAGGGGGGTGGGGATTTAATTTTTGCACATGCTCAGTAACGTTGTTGTAGAGTTTTTCAGCTACATTCTCTAAAGAGTCTGCCTGCACTGAACATGCTCCAGCCAAAGGTGGGAGGGGCCAAACAGGATTAAACTGTCCCTGTAGTTGCTGCTGGGGGACCATTATAGTTCCTGGCATGCAATCTGTCAGCGGGGAGCCGGTTTGTCCTGTGCTCTCAATTCTGTAGAGGGGAAGCAGCCAGAGCCAAATACAGATAGGATAAGAGCTGGAGTTGGGAAGGAAACAGAAGGAGAAGATCAGGACAAATTGCTCAGGACAGGGGAGAGAGGCTGGAATTGGCTGGAGAGCATGGGTGGTTGGTGAAGGTAGAGTTGGGGGAGGGGCAAGCCCCCAGACCCACCCCCCGTGGGGGGGGGCAGGGCAGTGCACGTGTTCCCCCAACCATAGGGAGGGGAGGGGAGCAGGCAGATGTATGCTCACTCCAGCCTCCCAGGCCCTGGGGAGAGAGGAGGGCACGTGGCACAGCCCCAACCTTCCCAGCCCCCGAACACCAGGGGAGAGAGGAAGGTGCGTGGCACGGCTCCAATCTCCCCAGCCTCAGAGCACTGGGGGAGAGAGGCACAGCCCTAGCTTGCCCAGTACTGCGGGAGGGAGGAGGGTACGCGGCTCCAGCCTCCCCAACCTGGAGCACAGGGAGGATGGGCACTGAGGGCAGCACTCCGCCCCCAGAATGCCCACAGTTGGAGTTCTAGAGGCGGAGTGTGGGGGGGGCCCTGGCTGCCAGTTTGGAAAGGCAAAGCCTTCCCCCATCTAGGCCACCAGACGCCCATGCTGGAGAGCTATGTAATAGAATCAAAATAAAATATTTCAATATTAGCAGCAAAATGTCAGGAATTTCCATTCAATGGGAAACTTCAGCTTTTCAGTCACGTGTGTGGAGAGAGGGGTTGTTTGTCCTGCAGAATGGCAATTCCAATGTCCAGGCAGCTGTAGTGGCTAGGATCAGATTTACACCTTAAGCAGGGTCCCCACATGGGCCCTGATGGCTGGATCTCCCCCCACAAGGGCTAATATTAGCAGCAAAATGTCAGGAATTTCCATTCAATGGGAAACTTCAGCTTTTCAGTCACGTGTGTGGAGAGAGGGGTTGTTTGTCCTGCAGAATGGCAATTCCAATGTCCAGGCAGCTGTAGTGGCTAGGATCAGATTTACACCTTAAGCAGGGTCCCCACATGGGCCCTGATGGCTGGATCTCCCCCCACAAGGGCTTGCGGCTCCCGGGACCCCCGCTGCTTGTGGCGTGGGGGGGG